CCATATTTTTAGGTAAACAATTCAGTGGCATAAGGACAACTCACATTGGTTGTGCAACCATCACCACCATCCACCTCCAGAATCTTCACCTTCCCAAACTAAAACTCCGTCCCCACTAAACAATAACTCCCAACCCTCCCACCTCCCCTCAGCCCCTAATAACCTCTATTCTACCATCGGTCTCTATCAATTTGACTACTGTTGGTACTTCATACAAATGGAGTTATACAGAATTTCTGCTTTCATATCTGCTTTATTTCTCTTAGCATAATACCCTCAAGGTTTATCCATGTTGGAACAGGTGTCAGAATCTCATTCCTTTTAAGGCTGAATAACATTCCACCATACGTGTAGACCACATCTTGATGATCTACCCATTGAGGGACACTTGGGTTGCTCCCACCTCTTAGCTATTGTGGAAAATGCTGCTCTGAGCATGCGTGTGCAGATATCTGAGGTCTGCTCTCAGTTCTTTTGGGTGTATACACAAATGCAAAATTGCAGAATCATATATGGTAATTATACTTTTTAAAGCTTGAACAGCCATCAGCAAGCTGCATTTCTTTTCTTCTTCTTTTCTTTTCCCCCCTACTTTCAATCACAGCCCAGTACCTGCAGTAGCCAACCCCACTCCACATTCCTGGACAGAGTGTTGCTATCTCAGGAGTGAGAGAGCAATTCCCCCCATCTTTTCCTTAGAAAACTTCAGCTGCAGAAATCACCTGACTGAAAATTACAGAAGAACCCTCATCCCACGCAGGAAAGGAACTGCTCAGAAAGCCCAGCCCACCATCTAATTACAGGCTTTCATCGGGAGCCTTGGCAAATGCTTAAATTGCATATCAACCTTACTTTTGTTATGAAGTGTTTAGAAACAAGTTAATGAGCTGGGTTTCAGATCCTTAGCTTGGAGGTAACAGCTCTCTCCCCTAATTATTAAGTAAAGCAAGTCAGAATGTTACAGATTTGGATTCAGAAGAGCTTTGTCTAGATATGCATCAGCTCAATTCTCACTCTTTCATTATTCCAGCCAGTGCCCTTTATGGAAAATGCTACCCCGGCTGGGATTTCCACTCAGAGCTGTGGTTCTAAATCCAGACAGAGCATGAGAAATATCTGGGGTGCTTTAAAAATATACATATCTACAAAGAGCCCAGGACCCCAACTTAGTCCAACTGAACCAGAGTTTCTGTGGGAGGGCATGACCATTGGTAGCATTTTAAAGTTCCCAGCTGGTTCCGAAGTGCAGGCCGGGTTGAGAATCCTTACTTAAGGGGACAGGGAGGGCTGCAATCAATCTTTCCTTGTCCACATTTTTTAGTTTACAGATTCTTAGAGGGAGGGAGAGAGAGAGAAACATCGATTTGTTGTTTCACTTATTCATTTGTTGGTTGATTCTTATATGTGCCCTAACCAGGGGTTGAACCTGCAACATTGGCATATCAGGTCAGTGCTCTAACTGACTCACCTGGTTAGGGCCTAGAAAAAGCATTTTCAATGGGCTTTTACCTTGAGGAGAGGGAACCCTGAGCTGGGGGCCCCAAACCCCAATGTTTAAAACAGAGAAGCATGGCTTCCGGGAAGGGAGAGCTTGGGCCTGTCTGACGGGTGCAGCTGACCACGGCCTCCTCGCGGCCGGTGGGTGGACCGAGAGGCGTGTGGGGGTGAGGGGCTGGGAGTGCCGCTCCAGTCTGAGGCTCTGCCCTGTCGGGTTCACATATGTGGTGCAAGGGTTTCAAGAACCCTCTGAACTATATGCAAAATGTTCTGTCCCCCTGTGTATTCGTCTAAGGAGGGTCCTCCAGAAGTCATATCACATTCTCTGAAGCTCTGTCACACACCCCTCACTGCCCCCACCAGGGATGAATAACCTCTGCTTTTATCATGGTATTCCACATGGTGGTATTTTAATAATGCAGTTACTAAAAATAAAAAGTGAGATGTCTTCATATTTACATTCACCTGGAGGGACTGAATACATTCATTATTAATGACACAAAAGCAAGTTTCAGAGTGATGTCCACAGAATAAATAGTCTGGAAACACCCACAAGAGCAGGGATGGTCTGTTTAAATTTTTTTTAAGAGATAGGGGAAGGGTGGAGGAAAGAAAGGGAAACATCAAAGTAAGAGAGAAACACCCATCGGTTGCCTCTCATGCGCCCCAACCAGGGACCAAACCCGCAACCCAGGCATGTGCCCTGACTAGGAATTGAAGCAGCAACTTTCGCTTTGGGATGACGACACCCAACCAACTGAGCCACACCAGTCGGGGCAGGGATAGTCTGCTTTGTTCACTGCGACATTCCACTACTTGGAAACTGTGTCCAGCACAGAGAAGGTGCTTAATACACACTTCTTGAATTAATGAATATCTTTTTGAAAAAGCTGAATCCACTATATGTGGATGATGTCTATGTGAAGAAGGACAAGTATGTAGAATGACACACACTGGGACATGAAAGGTGCTGACTTCAGGGAGAAGGACCTGGAAGGGGGATGATGGAGACAGTAAAATTTCGTTTTAATAACAGTGAACAGTTACGGAGTGCTAGCTAGGTGTGAGGCACAGTGCTCAGCACTGACTGTGGATTCCCTTCCTTGAACCCATGTAGCAATCCCTGACAGTGATCCCCATTTTACAGATGAGAAAACCTAAGCACACAGGGTCTTGTGCAAGCCCACAAACCCAGGAGCTGGGTGCTTCCCCCACAGCCATGCTGATCCCTCGTCTGTACACATCTCTGGGCCTGTGTCACATGTCACAACAACCACACGCTACATTTTTCATGAAATATAACAATGTCGGGGCTTTCCATGTGGGCTCTCATCCCCCCTCCCACCTCTGCAACGCTCCTAGTCTGCAGGTGCCACATTAAGTCCTTTATTCTCAGTAGGGACTTAGGAATCGATATTCCATGCTTGGATCCCAGTTTTGGTTCAATATAGAGTCGACCCTTGAACAAAGTGGGGGCTGGGTGCCCCACACAGTGGAGAATCTCCATGTAACAAGTCAGCCCTTCACATCTGTGGATCCCTAACTGCGGATTGAAAATACAGTTGACCTGTGATCAACACAGGTTTGAACGGCATAGGTTCACTTACATGCAATTTTTTCAATAAATACTAATTGAGTAAAGTATAAATAATAAATGCTTATTGAAATTAATAAGTATTTATTCAATAAATACGGTTCAACTGTAGTTTCCACTGCCTGCCCTCCACCATTTACAGATGCAATGAAATCACTGTCTTCTATCTCGACATAAAATCTTGGGGAGAGCAGGGTCCTTGGACAGTAGCCACACAGGCTGCATCCGATAGAAGCATTGTATTTGCTTAGGGCAGGCAACCCCTAACTGGCTGCAGACTCTCAGGTGACAGGCCCGGAGAAAGCTCAGAACCAACCTGCCTGGAGGGGTCTCGGAGCACAGAACACTTGCAGCCTTAATGATGCGAAGCAGTAAGCTCCTGCAGAGGAAGCTGTGTGTGGAAGGGTTTTTCAGTCATGGCCTGATTTCTTGGGAGACCCGAAGCCAATATTCTAGCCTAGATCTAAACAGATGAGAGCTTCCAATCGCCCTGCAGCAGGACTCCTCCAAGTATGACGTCAGATCCCCAAGGCCCACACCACCTTGGTGCATGAAGAAATGCAGGGCCTTTGATCTTAAGAGCTAACAAGGCCAGAGATAATCCTTCTTTACCAGCTTGAGACGTTGAGTGGGTTGTTTAGGTTTTAAGCTTCAGTCCCCAGGCCTATAAATTGATGAGGATAATACTGACTTGACAGGGTAGGTTCTAATGAATATTAGGAGTAATATCAGTGAAGCGCCTGCCGTGAACAGGACACAGGAGACAATAACCATTACTTCTGTGAATTCTAACCATATTGCCGTGGGCAGCTTCTAAAATGACTCCCAATGAGCCCTTATCTCCCAGGATTCATGCCCTTGTATAATCCCCTCCCCTTGAGTGTGAGCTAGACCAAGTGAATTGCTTCTAATGAATAAAAGGGATAGGGTGTCATTTGTGAGATTAGCTTACAAAAAGTCTCTGGCTTCCTTCTTCTTCTTGCTCATCCTGTTTTGTTCTCTCACTTGCCCACCCTGATGGAAGTCACCTGCCACGCTGTGAGTTGCCTAACGGTGAAGCCTGTGTGGTGAAGAACTAAGGAAGGTCCACAGGCCAATACCCAGGAAGGCACTCAGGCCCCCAGTCTAACAGCCTGTAAGAAACTGAATTCTGCCAACAACTGTTGTGCGTGAGCTTGAAAACAGACCCTCCCCCATATGAGCCTCAGCCAAAACCTTGACAGAAGCCTGTCAGAGAACTTTGGCCAGAAGCACCCAGCAAAGGCATGCCTGGATTCCTGACTCATGGGAACTAAGAGACAATATATGTTCACCGTTTCAGGTCACTAAATTTTAGGGTGATTTGTTATGCAGCAGTAGATAACTAATATACCCTGTAAACAGCAGATTAAATTCAAGTAGAACGGCACATGAAGCCTCTACTTAAACACTAAATAATCTCAGAAGCCTTTCAAAATCCCTCTCTGAGGATTTTGAGGCCCCTGTTTTCTCATGCTTCCCTATTAGGCTGTAAACTACTTGACTAATATCATGAAAGCTTATACCACGAATACTTGTTATTATGCCAAAGTTGTAAGTCACTTAATCTTTACAACAAACCTAGAAAGTAAATACTATTATTACCCACATCTTATAGATGAATAAAAAGATGCTCAGAGGGGTTAGGTTGCTCAAGGCTTCAGTAATTATGAGAAAATGCCAGGAAATGTGCTTCCAAAGTTTACATTTGTAGTAATTATGCTATGTGACTCTAAGAGTCTTGCTCAAGTTCATAAACTTTAAGTACATTCAAACCTAGGTAGCTGAACACCAGACGTGAAGTTTTTAAACATTACCCTCTCCAGTGCCTTCTACCCCCAGGATAATAAGTTGAACACACCTCACCTGGGGATCAGCAGGGTCTACCTACCTGTAAACACTAGGCTGGCATTTTCCAGTTCTTCTTGGGGAACTTTGAAGCTGAAGGATTCATTATAGAAAGGATCAATTGTACCCCTTAAGAAGGATGTCTTCTTTGTTTTCACAAGCTTGAGTCCATGTACCAGCTGGATTTTCACAAAGGGGTCTGAGAATTGGATACAATGTCACAGAATGTTACAGATCATGAAACCCACCCATCCATCCATCCATCCATCCATCTTCTCATCCATTCATTCTTTCACTCATTCATTCTTCTTTCCTTCTTTCCATCCATCCATCTTCCCAGCTATCTGACAGCCCAACTACCTACTCATCCTTTCATCTATTTTTCCCTCAATCCACCTAGTCTCCCATCCACACCTCCTTTCATCATCCATTTTCTCATGTATCTACTTTTCATTCCTCCTTTTCCTTTCCTCTCTTTCTCCAGCCACCCTATATTTATTGAGCTCCTCCCATGTGTTAGGCATTTTACAGATAAAGAAATAGAAGACTTAAGATGAGAAATGATTTGCTTGAGATCTGGCTAGTAGAGAGAGAGCCAGACCCAGAGCCTGGCCTGGCTTTCTGTCCTGGAAACCCATCATCATGTCATTGAGCCCAGAGCCCACACAGAGAGTAGAGGTGGCAGAGTTGTAACTGCCATTTTTTTTTATCACTTTAAAGCTTACAAAGAGATTCATGTACATTATCTAACTGAACATTGTTTAAACAGCCCAATGAAATGAACACTGTTATTATGTCAGTTTTTCAGATGGAGAAATTGAGGCTTTTAGAGGTTAAGTAACTTCCCCAAGGCACATTATTTGCAAGTAGTAGAGAATGGGACTTGGTTTGAGGCAGTTTGACTCTGAAAACCACTGCGGTAAGTCTGAAACTCTCCAGCCTTAACACCCTTCCTTCCACTGGCCCCTTCAAAACCTGTTTTTTGTAAAGTGGTTTTTGGGAATGCAAGCTGTCTAAATTCAGCTGTCACCTTATAGCACAAGTAATTTATTTTAGCCATTGCACTTAGAGAAGACAGTATTTCCACCAGTGAGCTGAAGAGAGCCCAGCGACCACGGCTGCTTTCACGATAATATCCTTGCCGTCTTGAGAGAAGCTACTTACAGATGGAATGTAATCTGTTCCAGTTCATTAAAAGTCATGTTTGAATTTGGTTTGCTATAAAATAGATACTTTAAATATAACAGTCTTTTCAGAGCTGGGATTTATAAAGATTTATGGTACACTTGAAATGAGTGGGGAAAAAACCTTAGGGTGCATACACCACTCTCACAGATTAGGATTCATGGACAATGCACACTAATGCCTCCTGGAGGACAGTGTCTCTACTGCAGGCATAGCAACTGGAAAGGCAAGCCACTTCCTGTGGGCTGCGTGTGTACAAAGAGGATCTAGATTTCAGTAGTTATCACACCTGGTCTCAGCCAAATCCCCAGTTCAAATGGGGTTATGTCTGAGGTGGCATCATTTACCTGTCTCATTTTAAAAGATATCTGATTATTTATCGTTCCTCTTGAAATAACATCTAGTTCTATAATGGGGTTCAGAGTGAGGGGTCCCCAAAGTCCCTACAACCCATGGCTGGGGGCTGGGGGAAAGAGATGATACAGCATTTAAGATACTTTGTATAACAAAAAGGCAAGCTAACAACTGTGCTACAAAAGTTGTCTATGACTGAGAGCATTCAGGGACTTGTGATATAGCTGGGGGAGCTGAATGCCCTCCCCGGAAGCCCCTGTGTCACAGGAGCTCTTGCCCTGACTGAAGATGGTCACTGAGAGAGGACAGAAAGGATACTGGCAAATGTAGCATACTGTGGGAGGAGCTGGATAGGAGGTCACATAGGAAGCTCCTGGTCAGGATTTAAACTAAGGGTGGGCAGAGAGAGTAAGGCTGGTCCACCAGGAGAGCTGAAAGAGTAGGTAGCAGCTGTGCCAGTTCGTAGTGAAGAGGGCAGCCCTGTGAGAGAGATTCAGCCATGCTGCCTGTAGTGAGGGAGGAGCTACATCTGTTCCTCTGAGGATTCGGACATGCGGCCCGGTGTAGGGAGGAAGCAGCAACCAAGAAGGAGAGAACGACATGCTGCCACTGACTGTGCCTGCTCTGGCTGACTCCGAAGCCAGCAAGGATTCTGCTTTGTAAGATGCTGACCTGCTGTCTCGCAGACCTGGGCTCTCTGGACTCTTGGAACTCAGAACATATAGAAAGGCCACTCTCTTGGGACTTGTGCCTTCCTGGACTTCACCATGATCCAGTGCAACACGGCACATGCTTTCCTGGACTATTACACGGAGGCTGAGGACAATGTACCCCAGATCCTGAAGGGGAGAGCTGCTGCGAGAGGATGGAGACTTTGAAACCCACAAGTACATTCCAGAGGGGATAGAGACCTGTTTGCACAGCTGGCTTATGAACAGATAAGGATAGGGGGAATTACTGGGCTTGGTTTTGGCCTATAGCCTGGTGGGGAGCAAGAGATGTGCTGGGAGAACACTCATGGAAGAACAGGGCTCTGAGCAGGGGTGCTCCTAGCCCCTGAGGTCTCACTCCTGTAAATAAAAACATGTTTCCTCCAACACTAACTGTTGGGTCATGCATCAAGGCACCACGTGCACAGGCCCCACTTTGCTTGGTTATAGTTCTGGATACTATCTTTCCTTTTAGGGTCTTATCTTTTTTTTTCTTAATCCTTATCTGAGGATATGTTTATTGATTTTAGAGAGAGAGAAAGGGAGAGAAAAAAAAACATCAATGTGAGAAACACTGACTGGTTGCCTCCCATGCACACCCAACCAGATATTGAACCCACAACCTGGGATGTGCCCTGACAGGGAATAGAACCCAAAACGTTTTAGAGCACAGGACAACACTCCAACCCACTGAGCCACCTGGCCAGGGCAGGTCTTATCTTTTTAACAGTATCCAGGATGCAGAAAAAAAGAAAATTGAGTCCTTTGTGTGAAAAAGAAAAAACACATGCCCCGTTGAAGAAATGGGGAAGGAGGGAGGGAGTCACACCGCACCTGAACCTTGGCTCACATCTGTCTGAAGAAGTTGCTTGGCTCGAATGACGTCAACATTTAGCCTCCCAGCACTTGGGAGATAATTCAGTGACAAAAGCAGCTCTCCCAGCTCCACTTCATTCTGCAGAGAAAGGGAATAGTTGAGAAGTTGCTTTTTTTCTTTTATTTTGCACCTACCATGCAGGAAACTGCTCCTAGAAGCTCACAATTGGGCTTCTGTGGATGGATCAGTTGACAGAGGGTACCTCTTCCTTTGACTTCTTTTAGTCTCTGACCCAGATTTTATTTCTCTCTCAGAAAGTTTTTCTGCACTTAGAACACTTAACAGCAGCAACAACATAGTGATGACAAAGGTTTCAATAATGACAATAAATAAACACAGGTCAATCAAGTATTATGCTAGACACTTTACATGTAATAACTGGTTCAATCTCTATAATGAGTCTGTGAGATATGAATGTCATTCCCATTGAACAGATGAGGAGACAGGCTCAGAAGGGTTAAATACTTGTCCAGGGCCAGACAGCTGGAAAGTGGTAGTGCTGGCATTTGGACACAGGGAGACTTAATTCCAGATATTCTGACCACTGTGGTTAATAATTTGGATTTTTAAAATTAGTGAGGATTCTCCTTACAAACAACGTCACCCTCACTCATTTGCATTCTTGGTTTTGTGTGTTTGTTTGTTAACTGGGAAAGACAATGCTGGCTTCCCCCTCAGGCAGAACCAATATGTGCTCTGGCCCCCTAGAAGCAGGGACCACCTCTCCACTTCAAATAAAAAAGAGAAATATTATTTTTTGCAAGAACGGGATATTTGGTATTTCAGAAATAATACTGACATAATCATTATGGGAATGATAGACCATCGCTATGATTTACAATGGACAATTATTATCTTGATCAGCATATGATGAGAAGCTCCATGATCTTCAGGGCTTTGGGTACCAAGGTCATATCTTAACCTAGCCCTTGGGAAAGTGGAGGGTCCTCACTTTCTCTGTCCAGAATGCATGACACATACGAACATCAGCAACCACATGGCATCCAAAACTGCAGCTCTAAACAACCAGGGGGCAAAACTGTTCCTGAAAGGTTCCTGAAGCCAGTGTCTTCTCAGCCTCTCTTCCCTAGAAGATGCTACATTTAAACGCTGACCAGCAGCCAACTGATAAGAAACTCAGGCTATGGGGAAAGCAGGACCAGCTGTTCCCCAACCTGACTCCTCCCCTGAAGGACCATGGAATTCATGGTGATCTTTGTAGACATTTATGAAGTATTGACATATTAAATTTACATCAACCTGGGGCAATTTTATCCCCCCACTCCCCACCTCCAGGGACATTTGGCCATGTCAGGAGACATTTCTGATTGTCACAAGTGGGAGGGTCGCTTTTGACACTTAGTAGGTGGAGGCCAGGAATACCACTAAGCATCTTGCAAAGTGCAGGCACCCCAGTTCCCAACACATAATGGTCTGGCCCCAAACTTCTATAGCGCTGAGGCTGAAAAAATCTTAGTTAAACCTATCAATCTTGGGCTGGTTCAGACTCATATATGATTCTAGCCTGAACAAATGTTAAAAGCATCCAAGGGCTGAATTTTTCTCCAGACCGGAAAAACTCAGAGCACCAGCTACAAGCCAAAGATCAAGCTTCGATTTCCATCCGTCCACTTCCTCTAAGGGCTTCCTTTGCTGAGAACAGACACCCAGGCACCAGGCAAAACTTTTCCCAGGAAGCAGTAGGCTCAGCTGCCCCAAGGAGAATGGACTGTTCCTTCTGAGAGGATCTCCAGCTCTTTGAACTCTTCCTTCCACCCAGATTTAGTCAGATAAGGTTGTCCTGTCAGACCTGGAATATTTGGTCCAAAGTTCTAGATTTAAAGAGGAAAACTGAACCAGGACATTCTCTCACTTCCCTGCTAACACCTCCATCACTCTTAGAATGAAATCCAAAATCCTTAGCCTAGTCTGCAATAATGCCATTTTGGACTGAATCATTCTGTGTTGGGGGGTGTCATCTGTGCATTGTAGGATGTTTAACAGCACCCCTGGTCTCTACCCCCTAGATGCCAGAAGCCTACTACCCCCCAGCTGTGACAATCCAAAATGTCTTTAGACAGCACCAAACATCCCCTGAGGGAAAAATCACCCAGCTGAGAACCACGGAGCTATCAGTATGGACATAATTCGGCCCTGCCTACATCTCAGACCTCAATGAACAGCCACATCAGTCTTCTTTCTATTTCTCAAAAAAAAAAAAAGGCATTCTGGCCTCAGGGCTGGCACCTGTGATGTGCCCTCAGCTTGGGAACCTGAAATGTCACCTCCTCGTGTAAGGTTTCCATCAGCACCTAATGGAAAAAGAGTTCCCTGCCTCCATTGCTTTCCATCACATCACCTTGTTTCATTTCTTCCATGGTACTTTGTCCTTATCGGATATTTTTTCATTTTCTGTAAAGGCAAAGACCGTGTCCATCTCTCCACCACTACACTCACAGCACCTGGACGACTTCAGCAGATGACCGTGAGAACCAGCTGTGCAGCCCCAACACGGTGGCTCTGCTGCCACATCACGGTCCCTGAGGAATCACGGGCATGACGTCTGCCACCTGCCCTATCCAACCCCCCGAGACTGGAAGGAGAGGTGAGAGAAGGAACTGGGTGCCACGTCTACTTTTTTCCCTGCTCAAGGCACTGTCACAAATAAACAGGCGTCGTTTTCTTTTACAAGATCTTGATGAGCTTAATTTGGTTGAACCACTCGGGGTAGCTTGGGAGAACTGAAATAGATTGTAAATTACTCAAATGAATCCAGAAGGCACCCTGCAAGCTCCTAGCAGCCGGCTTGTGCAAACGCTCCACTCTCATCCCAGGCTAAAATGTTCCCTCCCTGCAGCCTTTGAACACAGCTAAGTTCTAATCAATAAAAAGGAAACCAAAGAAAACTATTGGGGACAAAAGGCACTTTCTGGGGAAAACAGCAGCCGGGCTCTCTCCCTGCCATACTTCCTTTGAAGTGCTTCTAAAGGGCTCTCCGGAACAGAGGGTTTCAGGTGTGTGCGCACAACTGTTACCGGGTCAGAACACAGCTGCTCTGAGCTCCCCTGCCTTTGTTCCCAGGTTGGGAGAAACAGTGTGTCTCCATGTACCACACAAACAACATTAAAACAGGAGTGCATTTTTTAAAAACAAGATCCAGTCACGATCCCAGCACGTCACACCTTCCACCATGCGCTCTCTTGCCTCCAGCCCAACCCACTCAGGGCTTTCCCAGTCCCTGTCCACACATGGAACACAGCTGCACTGATGACACGGGCGAATTCTAATATCTCCCCACCCCCTTTCAACTTACACAGACACGCACTTTCCGTGATACTGCCTAGACATGTGCAGTGTAATTTTAGTATCTGCATAGAATATTCCGTTAGGCTGAAACTATAATTTACTTTAGCCCTTTCCTATTGTTAGGTACTTAGGTTGTTTCTAATGACCTAAAATTGGGCACTTTGATATACAGTATAAATATATATATATATACACACACACAAGTATATATATATACTTAAGATATATCATTTTAATAAAACCCCTGCAATCACTAGGTCAAAGAACATATCCAGATATATAAAAAGTACCCAGGTCTTTTTCTGCCACTCAATATGAACTGACAGAGCATTAGCCAAAGGGCTGGACTAACTTCACAGCCACTCACAGAGGGAGAGGATGGGGCCAGCACCGGGTATTAACATTCTGACAAATGGCCTCGATCAGTGTGGTTGTTAAAATATTTTTTGTTTGCATTTCTTTGAACATCTAGTCATGTATCGATTTAATTGCTTTTCCTATTTTGCATGGAAATGTTGACTTTCTGATTTCTGGTGTGAGGTCAATGTCCCTCATTGATGGGCATGCACATGCTGTGGCTACAAGACACATCTGGCACTGGCTTGTGGCTGTCTGCTGCTGTCATGATTTCTGTCCACTGGCTGCCTTATTGTGACTTCACTTGCATTTCCCTGAGTGCTTAAAAGGTTGAGCATCTTTTCATGCTTATCAGCTATTCTCTGCTTTAAAAATCCTGTTTGTTTCATATTGCCTATTTTTTCTATTGGATATTTGCCTTTCTTTTATTAATTTATAAAAAGGCTTTTAAATATTATGAATACCACTAAATTATTCACCAGTTATGTGTTGTTATGGGTTGAACTGTATCTCACCAAAATCCATGTGTTTAAGTCCCAACTCCCAATATCTTAGAATGTGACCTTATTTGAAAATAAGGTCCTTGCAGAGGTAGTTAAGGTGAGGTCATGCTGGAGGAGGGTGTGCCTCTAATCCAGGGTGAATGGGATCTTTATAAAAGGGGGCAACTTGGACACAGCTGTGCACACAGGGAGAAGGCCGTGTGAAGACTGGAGTGATGCCGCCACAAGCCAAGGAACTACCAGAAGCAAAGAGAGAGGCTGGAACAGATCCTTCCAAGAACCTTCAGGGGGAGCGTGGCCCTGCTGACCCCTGGATCTCTGACTGCTAGACAGCAAATTTCTGTTTAAGCCACTCGGTTTGTGGCCCTTTGTTACAATGGCCCAAGCAAACTAATATGTGTGTGTATAAACATATTCTCCCAGTTTGTGGGCTACCTTTTAACTGTTTTTTTTTTCACTGTATTTTCTGATGAACAAAATACTGCAGAATGCATCCGTCCCTCCTTTCCCTCTATGGTCCACACTTTATGGCCTTTCCAGAAGTGCTTTGCTACATCAAAGTCATAAAGATAGCTTCATTTTTATTTTTCTAAAACTTAAAGTTTGGCCTTGTAAATGTAAGTCCTTGGACTGCCTGGACCTGATTTTGGTGTATGATGTGAGATAAGGCTCTGTTTTCATTTTTGAGGTAGTGATCTTCATTTCTCCTGTCTTTCTGCCCCACGAGGCTGTATGCTCCTTGAGGATAATGATCTCACATTGCTTCTGTCTGTCTCCCCCAATACAGAACACACCCCTGGGGAATGCTGGCCAAGAGAAACATTTGTCCACACCCTTCCTAAGCAGCTACACCTTCCAGGAAAGATGCGAGAGAAGCCTGATCTTTTGATGTCTGAGAGTTTATGTCTAGGA